TGGTCATTGCAGGGGATTTTAACGCCGCACCGGAAAGAGGACTCGACAGATGGAACCCCCAGAGATCCCCAACCTTCGCAGCGGAAGAAGACGAACAAATGATCGTGGACCTGTGCGAGAGCCTCGCAGTCTTCGACACCTTCCGCCGGCTGCATCCTACGGACCGGACCTTCTCTTGTGTAAGGGACACCGATCCGACTAGGCTGTCCAAATCATGAATCGACCTCATATTACTCTCCAACGATTTAGAAGGGGCACTTCGATGGGCCGCCATTCTTCCGCGCAACCCGCACCCTGGCCTGGACCACAAAACCTGTGGGATAATACTTACTATGCGGAAAAGACTGGATCAAGGATCCGTTTTTTTCAAACTAAGGAAGTAGTGGGGAAAGGAGTGCTGACCCTGCTGTACAAATAAGGGGATAAAATGAACATCAAGAACTACAGACCAATTACACTCCTTACAGTAGTCTACAAAATCCTCGCCAAAGCCCTGGCGAACCGTATGGTGGAAATCTTGACAGGGTTTATGACCGATAGGAACATACAAGAGCATATCCTGTTGATAAATGAAATTGTCTGTCTAGCGCAAAGACACCGGTCAAACGCGGCAATTGTCTTCATCGATTTCGAGAAGGCATACGATCATGTCGACTGGATCTTTCTAGAAAAATGCTTGGAAAAAATGAACTTTGGGCCTACTTTTAGGAAATGGGTGCGCATCCTACACAAAAACGCCACCACCTATGTACAGGTGAATGGATCGGTGGCACCCCCTTTTGAGCTTCAGCGATCGGTCAGGCAAGGAGACCCCATTGCCCCCTACCTTTTCTTGGTCATCATGGAGGCCCTCTCGTCTAATTTGAGACACAACAAAGATCTGACTCGAATCAAGATTACCAATATCCCGGAAGAAGCGGTACCTATATGCTCCTTGTTTGCAGACGACCTTACGATCATGGTCGAGGCGAATTCACAAAACATGGAAGAGATCCAGGCCCTCATGGACCGTTTCGGTAGAGTCTCGGACATGACCGTCAATTGGGGGCAGAAAACTGTAGGCTGGTGGCTGCACCACCAGGGGGGCAGACCACCAGAAAATCCGCGCATCACCTGGCTTCCTCCGGGCGACCCCCTTAGAGTCTTAGGTGCATCATTCACAGCCAAAGGGAAACCCGTCACAAGTGATGAGTGGCTGATTGGGCCAGCACAGACCAAACTCCAAGGATGGAACCACAAGCACACATCAATCTTTGGGCGGGCTCTCGTTATCAATAACGTCGTGCTGGCCACCCTCTGGTATRGAGYCATCCTRTGRCCCCTMAGCAAAGGGGGGCTTAAGACRCTCAAGCAACARTTGGCGGCCTTCCTWTGGAGAGGGGATAGTAGTAAGACCYATGCCATCAGTCGAGTGGCATGGGACTCTGTTGTTCAGCCCAAGGCCGGTGGGGGGCTTGGAATAGTGGACCCGTCCACACAATTTCAGGCCTTAAGCATCCATTGGATTCAACAGGTTATTTTCGAAACCTCCTCCCCCTGGGTTCCCTTGGCACTGACACAAATCGCGGCTTTGGCTCCGGAAACCCCACCGGAAATCGACCCCCTAATATGGCTTGAGGATAGGTACTGGAGACTCCCTAGGAAATATTCGAATGGGGACACGGTAGAGGAACACTGGATACGTCTCCTGCGCACGTGGAGAAAGCTCCCACTCCCCGACCGCGCCACCCCGAACAGATGGGAAGAGATAATCAGGCAACCACTGTTCGGAAACAGACTAATCGCATACCCCCTTGGCCAGGTCAGGAACAGCTCAGACACCCCATGGAAAAATTGGGTGAAACATGGGGTACTCAGGGTGGGGGACCTTTGGGATGAAGAAAGGGGAGAATGGAAGAGTGCAGCAAGAATGAAAAGCTGCCTGCGCTACTGCCACTCACTCGAGTCCACAATGGAAGAACTCATTGAAAGCTTCCCCATCCAATGGTACACCATACTTAAGAAAGGCCCCACGTTGGAAGCAGACGATTGGGTGGGGCTTCCTGGCCACGCAACACAAGTAGGCCGGGTACACATAGTGGACCGAGCACAAGTCCTAATCGAATGCTACGCCATCACAGAAACAGGGCGGTTGCAAGAAAGCAGACAACCCTTCTTCTGGAAAGAAAAATCAGAAGTCTATCGCATCCGGGTAATCGAAGAAGGGAAAGGTTGGAGAGCGTATCGTCCATTGAGCCCAATCGAGAATCTCCCCTTTGATCCCCAAGAATGGCGATGGTCGTGGAAGGGCAGGTTAGGGAAGGGAGGGGGGGGGGAACAAACAGTCCATCTGGCCACCCTAAAAACAAAGACCGTCTACCGAATGCTCAGGCCCAAGCGTGGGCTAAAAGAGGTGGTGGCGGACAGATGGCAGTGCCATCTAAATGTAGATCGAAGCGCACTTAAATCCATCCAATGGTTCAGCGAGTATCAGAAAAGACCAGCGAAAATCTCCGCCCTCCAATGGCAAATCACTCATTGCTGCCTACCGACCAACGACAGGCTGATCGATCATACACAGCTCGAACAGCAAGGAAGGGCGCTCCCCTGGTGCCGGGGTTGCCGCCAAAACTTCCCCGGAAAAAGGCGCCCTGAGACGATCGAGCACATTTTCCTGCAGTGCCCTGGAGCGGTCTTGTTATGGAGGTGGTGGGATAGGATCTGGCGGCACATCGTTCCAGGCTCATTATGGCCATGGGAGTGGAGGGCAATCCTGTTAGGACACTACCCCCCTTTTCGCGACAACGCCTTTGTAGCAAACATGTACTCTCTCGGCAGGCGTACTATCCTATGGACCATATGGTGGCGAAGATGCATCCTGGAATTAGAAGGGGCAAGGGTGGAGGAGGGGGAAGTCACGAAACAGATAAGGCTGCTCTTCCAGCATGAGATCGCGGCACAATGGCAGAAAGTCAAGGAGAATCTGGATCAGCTTCACAGCAGAAGGGACATTAAGAACAATATTTCCCGGTTTTGTGAGAGCTGGCTGGGAGGGGAGAGGGAGGGCTGGGTTGCGAAGGTGAGTTGGACGGGAGACAGGTTGGATCAGCAGAACCTAGGACAAGGAGAGGGACAAGAGGAAGACATGGGAAGAGACTATCACCTTCATTTCAAGGACTGGACTAAGGTGGATCCCAGCGAGCAGCTGAGACCCGCACAGGATTTTGGTGATCCCTTCCTCCCCCACCCGCTGGCCCTGGAGGAATATCTGGGGACTTAGAGTTAGCTAGAGTTATCTAACGAGGTGCTGTGCATGACTGCAGCTGTTGGGTTGTCAGTCCTTTCCTTTCAGCCTTTTGGCGCTTGTTCTGTAAAGACGTATTTTGGGACGCTGGACCCGGTTTCCAGCAAGGCTTCTGTAAAGACGTATTTTGGGACGCTGGACCCGGTTTCCAGCAAGGCATGGCAATCTGCAGTCCAGACTAGCCTGTCGATGGTGCCAGTTTTTCAGTGTGGTGTCAGACTGTTTTCCTTGAAATTCTTGGCTCCTTTGGCAGGTCCCAATTCTCATTGGTCCTCAKACATTCTAGTGTGGACATTCTTTTTTCTGTTCTATTGCGGACATTCTATTTTTCTGTATAATTTCTGTACATTTGTACATGGGACGCTGGACGCCATAAGGATAGTAGCAGGAGGGCAGGAGCTAGGGGAGGGAGGGAGATTCSACTGGTGCCCCCTGGTGGGTCTCCCCCCAGTACCCGACGGTGCTGCAGGCTAGGAAAGAAGGAAAGGTTAGATATGGGATGCTGGACCCGGTTTCCAGCTCAATGGCGTCACCCTCAATGATTTACTGTTTGCACCGATGTATTCATGGGATGCTGGGCCCGGTTCCCAGCAGGTGATGCTCCCCACCAATAGACGGAGTGGCCCGCCAGGCAAAGCCTCAATCCCGGTGGTTCTCTTACCACCACCAGGATAGAGGCTTTGTACAAGGGCAAAAAAA